AGGATGTGGAAGGAGGTTAGCAGCCACTTTGCGAGAGCTGAAGCTGGTTCAAAGGTGTCAGGACAAGGCAGCGCTGACTTTTGGGACTTTTGCGATGGTCGAGCCGACGTGTACTTTTTGGACAGGTGGTGTGAGCACCGTCAAGCTGGACGTGAGTTCTGCTCTGCCAACTTGTATCCCGAAGACGAGGACGACTCCACCCAAGAAGGTAACAATCGACAACCAACGTCCCACAATCGCAAGCGTCAAAAGCGGGACCAGACGGCTGTGTTCAATGCTCTACTCGACAAAATTAACACCTTAGTTGGCTCGGACGTAGACAAAGCTCAAGAAGACACTTGGCTTTTTTTTCAACAAACTTAACAACAACAAAAATCAACTGAAAAACCGTTTAATTAGTCTTGTTCGTCACAACACTCCGTCGTCCGGTTTTTTTTCAAGGCTTAATGTTGGTTACATCTTTCTCAGGGTGCTGTAAATCGCCAGGTGGCTGGAGTCCACGACAGGATATCAGAAAATGATGAAAAATGACCCACAAAGCGGGCAGCTCGTTGGTCGTAGCATCATGGTCACCACCACGAATGGTGCTTGGAGGGTTTTGAGTAACGAAGTGGACCTCGCAGTTAGAGAACTTAGCTCTAATGGATCGGCAGAATCTGCTGCTGCAGCTATCGTCAACGAGGCTGTTAGAAAGGACAGCACGACATCTCAGTAATTGTTGTCTCGGTGTAGGATTATTTTAATCGCCATTGCAACAAGAAAACTAACATTATCTTGTTTCACTGGCGATTATTAAAATGCCTTCCCAATACTTCCACCCTGCCTCCAGCTTTCCTTGTTACATCTGTCTCGACAGCTTAGGTTTAGTCGTGAATTTGGTAAGTACTTTTCTTCTTACAAGAGTCTGTTGTCAGCTTCAATTTCACATGACTAATGTCTGAGGTACACAAAATTCTCTCAATAATATTGAGTCAAGCTGGCCTGATCCGTCTTTGTTTCACGTGTCAAATGGATTATACCCGTTAAGAAGGTCCTGTTCG